CTACTAGCTTCTTGTTACTACTAGTAAGGCACCTGTTACTAGTAGCGTGGCACTTGTTACTAGCGAGTCAGCCGAGCTCAGCTCAGTCAGTTCAGCCCTCCACTACGCAGGATTTGCAACAATCGGCAGCGGCAAAGAAGCATTCATCGCTTGCCAGCAGCGGTCGCGCTTTTGATTCAGCCGTACCTCGAACAAAAGAAAGGGCGATTGGAACAAACATGTTTTTTAAGAGAAGAATTGTGGAGAAAAGAGAAGAGTCGTGAAAAGTTGCGACACTCGACAGACATCGACATGTTACGACATCGACGTGTTTCTTAGGTATGTGCTTTTTCACTGTGTCTTCCTGTTCTTGCTGGGAGAGTCATGTATGCAGATGTGGGACTTGATGCAGGCACAAAGGGAACTGGAAGGTGGATTTGTCCTCCAAATTTCGGATGATTCAACCCATATGAGAAATCGATAACAGGAAGGCCCGGTGTTCTTTACATGTTGCGCTTTACTGTTCTGTATCTACTCCTTAAAGATCCTTACTCTCCTGTTTTTCATCTGAAGCAGTCTTGATATCGTCCACAGTAGAAGGCCTGAACACCTTTCCAACACGTTTTCGGACACTCATGTTCGATCTTCTAAGGACTCTTTTGATTCGTTGCAGATGCGTCATTTCTTCTCGTTTCTCCTTCCTTTATAGTTTTTCTCTATCGAGGCTAGTAACAAGAAGCTACTAGAAACAAGTGCATCGCTACTAGTAACAAATGCCTTACTAGTAGGAACAAGTGCCTCGCTAGTAGTAACAAATGCCGACCCTTCTCGAGGCCAGCAGCTGGTTGGATGCGGAGAACTTCCCGCGCTGGCCATACTCGCGTCGGTCGAATGACCCGAGTGAACGTGGACTCTTCGTGGTTTTCTTGCGCTGGATGGCGATCGCCACTCCCATCGTAACGCTCTTAACGGGAATGGTCACCTTAGTGCATCTCTGGTGCCATCATGTGAATTACGAGAGGAAATTTGACAAAGGCCAGGCTTCAGTGTGAAAAGCATGTTTATTTTGAATTTGGTCTGTTCGCATGTCTTTGTTCCTTCTAAATTGTGAACGGGAGGTCTTCATTGGTATCCCTCTCACTCACACGATCTGGCGATGCAAGTTGTGGCCATGCCATTGCTTCTTGTCAGTGTTCGGAGTTTGAGGAGTCTCGAAAAGAATTCTACTAAATAGAGAAAAGAGAAAGAAAGGATGTATGTATTGTCAAGACTGAGGATTTATGGTGTTTTCTCCCTGGACTGTGTGATTCAAACGCTTTTGCTGATGACGGGCCAAGCATCCTTTGGAGATAAAGAGCAAGAGCATGGCCTCGGTCTCGGCCGGACGCCCTCGTCGGAATTCTTGAAGACCTTGGACCTCATGCGGCACCTCACAGAGGAACGAAGTGACATGTTGGTCTGTTTGGTCTTCTGGGGGGTGTAGGCTGCTAGGAGGTAGGAAGCTAGGATGCAGGAGAGCTCGCGCTTCTGCAAGGAAACTCCGCCAGGGCGGCGGGGGAAGCTTGCTTGAAGAAGCGCTCGCACCAATGATTTGGTTCCTAGATTTTTAGGGAAACCTAACAAATAACGTAGAGTCCTTGCTCCTAGTAGGGATGCCCTTTCCTCCTAGTAGCTTCTTGTTCCTAGTAGTAATGCCAGGAGCTACCAGTAGCGTCCTTGCTCCTAGTAGCGATGCTCTTTGCTCCTAGTAGCTTTTGGTTCGTAGTAGTAGTGCCAGGAGCTACCAGTAGCGTCCTTGCTCCTAGTAGCGATGCCCTTTCCTCCTAGTAGCTTCTTGTTCCCAGTAGTAATGCCAGGAACTACCAGTAGCGTCCTTGCTCCTAGTAGCGATGCTCTTTGCTCCTAGTAGCTTCTGGTTCGTAGTAGTAGTAGTGCCAGGAGCTACCAGTAGCGTCCTTGCTCCTAGTAGCGATGCCCTTTCCTCCTAGTAGCTTCTTGTTCCTAGTAGTACTGCCAGGAGCTACCAGTAGCGTCCTTGCTCCTAGTAGCGACGCCCTTTCCTCCTAGTAGCTTCTTGTTCCTAGTAGTATTGCCAGGAGCTACCAGTAGCATCCTTGCTCCTAGTAGCGATGCTCTTTGCTCCTAGTGGCTTCTGGTTCGTAGTAGTAATGCCAGGAGCTACCAGTAGCGTCCTTGCTCCACCATGCTTGCCAATCAGAAGTGGCATCACCACCGTCACTCTGGACGGGTGGCGAAAAAGTGAACCCTAAAGAAAACAACAAAAGAGAGACAAGTGAATTAAGCACCATGTTCAGAGATCGAAAATGCCCACGATAACAGTGTCCGGCCCGCTCCATTCAGAAGCAACCTAGCAAAATGCCGTAACTCAGCATCGGAAAAAAGCGGCCGTGCTCCACGAATCATCCCCTTGGGTAAGGCTCGACCGCAGGGGTGGCAGTGCTCGGAGCAGTGAACTCCCGGAAGGAGGAGTTGGCCAGGCAAAGACAGAGCCACACCACTTCTTCAAAGTCTTGGCCAGCGTTCCAAAGGATTCTTGTGGAGAAAACTTTGTCAGAGCATGTTTGCGGGAAATGAAAAGGTGAGCAAGTTCCACATAGGCGACGGACACAGTTGCATCCACCCGCCACTGCAAGGATAAGAGAAAAGACAAAAACTGCTCCGCATCATCAAGACTGCACAATGTTCGCACTTGCGCCGCACCAGAACAAGCTGCTTGCGCACGCCATGTAAAAAGTGAGCAGTTCGGGGTCCAATCCCATCCTGGAAAGCGGGATTTGCATTCATCAGCGTCATTCGCCTGGAGGGTGTCTTCCTTGGTTTGGAAAACTTGTTTTACAACACCATCTGACCCAATGATTTGGTTGAGGCGAGTGAGTGCCTCTTGGCGCTGCTGGGCAGCTTGGAAAGTGAGTTGCCACATGTCAACATGGAAAGCTGCAGAGGCCTTTGCTACACGCTTTGCCTCCTCGTCAGCACGGCGATTCGCCCTGATATGCCACCCGAAGAGACCGGATGGGAACGGTTCATGTATTCCAATACTGCTTAACACACGATGATCACATGTGTGAGCTGGCATCCACACGACTCGGACTGGCTGCGCACAGCGCATTGCTTTGGATTGCCAGACATCAAGGATTTTCCTCCAAATGGGAGCGTGGCTTCAAGACACAGGTATATTGCCACCCTGAGTCATTGAGGAGAAAAGATCGACAATAGTTTTGCAGTCTGTAAAGATCGTCACGCAAGCCGGTGCCAAAATGATTGCGACTGCCAATGCAAAAAGCTCAGCTGTGTACGCAGCCAACGAGATATGTCTCACAGGCCCTGAAACAACGAGATGTTCGGCACTGTCGAAAATAGCGTAGGCTGCGGTCGTGAGCCAAAAAGATTCCTGGAGTGCCACAGAGCCATCTGTAAACCATGTGAGCTCTTCTGCAGCTGGATCAAAAGCATCCGGATTAAAACCGGGGAGATCAGAGACCTGCAGCCGGGAGGAGGCAATAGCTGCAGGGTGTTCTATGATTCCTAAGCCACCAAAATTAGGCCCCAATTCATGATCAGGAAGGCTCGCAATGAAGGAGGGTGCAGCCGGGCACTCCTTGACAATGTGCAAAAGAGATTCCTTGGTTTGCAGGCAAAAACGGCATGCCGGGGAATCAATGAACCCAGCAGCTGCCCTTCTGTCATTGGTAATGGTGCACCCTACCAGCTGTGCATCAAAGTGGCACATCAATTCTTTGGGATTAATGTGTTTCGGGGGACACAGCTTGAAGGCCAAAGAAAGCCTATGATCAACCAAACCAGTGGGTTTGCGAACGTCCTTTCGGGAGTTGTAGTTGGTACTTTCATAGCAAAACTGTCGACCCAAAGTGTGCAGCATTCCTCGCAGGTCTTTAGGAGTGACATCCAAGATCGAGAATGTTGAGGAACCTATGCCAATGCGCAAGTCGGGCAAAAGCGTACAATGGAACACCAACAAGGCCTTACGAAAATGCGCAAGGAGACTATGTTTATGATGGGTGGCATGAACGAAAAGCCCTTGGAGTTTCTCCACAGCCTCAGGGTGTCGGTGCAGGTAGCGCCAAACATTGCAAACAGTGACATACGCTCTTGCCACCTGCGGATGCACAAAGCATGGGTTGCACAAGAAAGTGAAAATGAGCATCCGAGCACGCCAGTGGGGCCTCCTGCCCCAAATAGCATTAGCAATCTCATTTTCAATTTTCGCACAGGCAAGCTTCGGGATAGAGGAGATGTCAGAAGCAAATGTACACTGTGGGATGACCTTGGCAGCAATCAACTGGCATTTAGTAGCTGTGGGAACAGGAAGAGCAGCAATGTTCTTAGTGTCATTACAGATCTTGATCACCTTTTTTTCAGGAAAATGAAACGCATCTCGTTGTGCTGTGTAAATCATGGCACCGAGAGCATCAAATTCGAGAACGATCGGGATGGTTGGGAAGAGCTTACGGGCAGTTTTCCGTGCAGCGCCATTGGATGCCCACAACGAGCTTTTGGCAGGGTTGAGTTGCTGACCAATGAGTTCATTCCACTTCTCAGTAACCTGCAGGGCAGTTCTCAGGGATTGAATGCGTGAAAGTCGAACCCATAAATAAGCGTCATCGATAAAAACCCGGCAGCAGACATGTGGGATAACGCTCATGAATTTTGCCCACACAGCCACGTGGACATTAATGGCAAGAAGTGACAGGCTACAGCCTTGTGCGACACCGTTCGCAGCGGTGGTGGGAATACTCGAGACCCACCCTCTGTATGAGAGATGGCGTTTCAGGGAGGCATACATCTTAGAGAAACCGGGCTGCAGTAAAATCAGGGACCAAGCGATCGAAGCACTTTGACTGATCCAGCTTAATCCCGACCAAGGGGTCGGACGAAGCTTGAGCGGAGTCTAGTTCTAAACGCAAGCCAACACTGACATCGGACATGTCCCGATTTTTGATTCCCCCACACAAAGTTTGAGGAAAAACACAATTCTGCCACTCTTGCAGCTGCCGAAAACGGGTTCCAGTGTAGGCAAGCAACATGGGCGAAAGGATGGTAATCAATCTTTTATTGAGGGGGGATGCGGGTCCTGGTTTGTTCAGAATAACTTGTTTCGCTCTAGTGAGGACCGCAGGCATCTCTGAGTCACATTCGTCTTCCAAGGCACAAAAGAAACTTGCAATGGCCCTGCAACACGGCAGTGGAAGATGCTGCAGGTCAGTCGTCCGCCAGCCATCCATGCCGGGAGCTGCCATCGGGTTCCGCCTTTTGATAGTAAGTGCAATTTCTTGCCCGTGAGTGGGGGCAACTCAAAAGGTTTTTGTTCTTCAAGGTATGGCCAAATAACATTTAACATGTCAAGGGGGTTATTCCGCAACAGATTGGCGCTGTAGATGGCGTCCCAATCATTGGCAATACACGAAATGGCCTCTTGTGGATTGAAAATGATATGGCCCTCTTGGTCAAGAACCAGATTGGTGGGTTCATCAATGCACTTATTTTTCAAATGGTGGAAGAGATGTTTCTTATCAGTCTTGGCGGAGTCCTGCATACGGCACTTCCAAGCATCAATGCGCACACGTTTCTTGGTGGTTTCCCATCGAGAAATCTCCTCCTTAACCCACCCCACATTATTGAAAATGTCAACCAGGGTAAGAGTGAAAGGGGAACTCCAGGTCCAAGGGGAATTAAGGCAACCCAAGCTTCTCCAAGCCTTTTTTGCAGTACGCTGGAAAATAATGGCGTCGGAAAGTTTCAAGCTCCCAAAGCTGTCGAAGGACTTTGAAGAGTTGGGAACCCTTCTGTGTGGCCGCCGAGCCATTAGGGAGCTGGCCAGGGCAAATCCGCTTCCTAGTGAAAGAGGGCAAGATGCCCCCTACATGAAGACACCCGCCCATCAAACTACGATACGGTGCCTCGGCTTTCCCGTAATACTGGTATTGTTTTTCGCAAGGCCGACTCCCCCAGACCACCTGGCCCCGACCATGAGAGCGTTGCTGGGCGGTTACCATCGCCCCCGATTGAATCAAGTTCCCTAGTCTTCACGGACGGTAGCTGTTTTTCTCACAAGTGGCGTCACGCTCGGGTTGCGGCTAGTGCGGTATACATACTTGCCCAATTTAGTTTTGCCACTCTCTTGCCTGGTGTTGACCAAACTTCCCAACGAGCTGAACTCTACGCAGTTTTGTTGGCCCTACTGGCTACAGCCGGAGATGTTGTGATCGCTTCCGACTGTCAAAATGTTGTCGCCGGCTTTCGCCTTCTTGAACAAGTTCACTTTCGGTTGCTCAAGGCTGAGTGCTTGGACAATCGGGATTTGTGGGCTTTAATCTGCACTCACATTCGCAACCGATCCGGCCAGGTTGAAATAATCAAAGTTCAGGCCCACTGCCGTGTTGGTGATTTACAACAACC